AACTGAAGTTTTTGGACCACAAAGAAACCCATAAAAAATTGGTACAACTTGGAGGAACCTTAATTATAATGCCAAAGGACTTGGCCTAGATTGTTGTGAAAGCCTTTCTTTTTCATCTCCATTTCTCACCCTTCTTTTCGATTCTGAGTCGTTTAATTAAATTCGATAGTCGAAATGAACCTTACTCATTTAGTTTCGTTTAGGTCATTTCACTTGTAATGGCCCAAGTCCACCACAAGTAGATATTGTCCGTTTTGACCTGTTACTTGTCGTCGTTAGCCTTACGATTTTAAAATGTGTCTATTAGGGAGAGATTGTTACACTCTTATAAGGAGTGTTTCATTCTCCTACCCAGCATCTCGTGAATATTGTAAGATCCCACATCAGTTGAACGAAGGAAACAAACCGAAAAGGTGAGTTTGAAAAAGGGTTTTGAGGAAGGGTTGGAATGGAAAGCCGTAGCATATGGGGATCACTTGGATCATGTGCACAAAATTGGAACCCATTATTACACCTTCACATGATTGATTTTATCTTTGGTTGGCTCCAAGTGTGAAACATATGCTATGTTATCATGTTATTACCCCTTTTTATACCTTACACCAAGAAGTGGTCCAAACCCCTTTCTCATTTGCCCATTATTCATCTCTCATTTGAATCCAACCATCATCATTAGAACGAAGATCGGGTATCTTATAATTTATTTACATATTTCGTATATCTTTTTCTATAAGCACGTTTTGAGCTTAAGGGCTGGTTGTTGATTAGGTTAATTACGACAACAATTTAGTATAACATTTATAATCTAACTCAAAATCCTTTTATCAGTTTACATAGTTAGATCTAAGTCGTGTTGCAACCAAACAATTTCATCTCTCGCTTATGTTGTGTTCTAAATCCTCAAACTCAACCATCTATTCATGTTTGATTTAGCTCATGTTGGCTATCCATGAAGGAGAGCATTAATTCAATAAGTCGGTTCATCAATAGTCACCATGGTGAAAACACTAACATTATTGACTCCAATGAAGTAAGCAGAAGACCGTCGGTAAACTACTCTTATCTATCGTGTAGTTCAATAGTATTCATAGTATTAGTCTCAACAACATTTCTTATGATAGTGTTATAAGTACTTACACATGTTGTGAGCATTGTATCTATGCACGTGCTTCTAACTAAACCACTCGTCGATTAGTTCACTAAAAGGGGAAAAAAAAAAAAAAGTGATTACATGTCATCCCGATTAATTGATTGCTTTATCCACGATTTGTTAGATTCATGAACTTCAAATGGAAAGAAGCTAAAGTACAATAATAGACTTAAAGGTCGAACCCAAAATTTGAAATTATAAAAAATATTCTTATTTTTAATTTTTTTTTTACAATATTATCGTTATTCCACTAAAAAAAAGTATAAATTTCCGTCTATCGTCTTCAACCGAAAGTGGCACGCACTCTAGCATCCTTCTCTATCGCATCGCCACCACTGTTGTTCGTCTTCTTCGTTGACACTTTTTTCAATTCGTATCTCGTTTGTGCACTTTATGCTCCAAAAATGGGTAATTTATGTGCCTGTCTCGCACCCAAATCAATGAAGAAAAAACCCACCAAGCGCCTTCGCAACCCACCTCCGACCACCAATTCTAGCAAAAGATGGACCCGAGTTCGTTCTTCCAGGAAAGAAAAATCTGATGCTGCTCTGACTCAAGAGCAAGTTCTCGCCGCCGCGATTCTGTTTCAACAGCAGAATGGCCGCGACCCTTTTGATCGGACCACTTCTGTCCGGTACCCGAAATCAGGGTCGAAGAATAGCAACACTCTACCGAGGAGCTCTAGTTCGCGGGCTCGGGCTCTTACCGATCCCCTGCTTCAGCCTCATCAGCTTGTTAGCGAGGTTGTGATTAAACCCCTTTTTTTGAACTGTTTTGCTTCTTTTTTAGTTCATGAATTGATGGAGTCTCTGCATTTCGGAATGGGTTGGTTGATTTCATTTGTTTTGACGCTTTCTCCTCTGTTCATGCAGAATGTAAAACTTGAGGATATAGAAACGAATCATTTTGTTCTTGTCCATGGTGGTGGCTTTGGTGCTTGGTGTTGGTATAAAACCATAGCACTTCTAGAAGAAGGGGGTTACAAAGCTACTGCCATAGATTTAGCTGGTTCTGGAGTTCATTCATTTGATCCTAATCGCATCACAAGTCTTTTGCAATATGTGCACCCGCTTACTGATTTCCTTCAAATGCTTCCTGAGGGAGAAAAGGTCTTTGAACTTATCCATTAATTTCTTTTTCAGTTCTGTTTAATGTTTCTGATGTTGTTCCTTAATCAAGTTAGAGCTTAGAGGTAAAAATCTAAAACTAGTTACGGACCATGCCCAAAATTGTTGTTTTTTGCTTTTCCCTTTCGGGTTTCTCCTCAGAGTTTTTAAAACGCTCTGTTAGGAAGATGTTTCCACACTCCTATATAAAGATTCCGTTCTCCTCTCCAACCGATGTGATATCTCACAATCCATCCCGTTCGAGGCCTAGCATCCTTGCTGACACTTGTTCCCATATTCAATCGATGTGGGACTCCCCAATCCACTCCCTTTAGAGCCCAACGTTCTTGTTGGCACACCTCCTCGTGTCCACACCCCTTTTGGGCTCATCTTCCTTGCTGGCACATCGCCGGGTATATATAATAGCTTAAGTCCACTGCTAGTAGATATTGTTCTATGTAGACTTTCCTGTCTGGGTTTCCTCTTCGGGTTACAAGTTCCATATACTAGAAAGGCTACATATTTTGGAACTTCCTTACTCTATTCATGCAGGTTATCTTGGTGGGACATGATTTTGGCGGTGCATGTATAGCACATGCAATGGAGTTATTTCCTTATAGAATTTCAAAAGCCATATTCATCGCTGCAGCAATGTTGAGTAATGGACAGAACACTTTAGACATGTTTTCTCAGCAGGTATGCATTCTAATCTCTTGTTAATCTGTGATTCATAGATACATATTCTGTTGAGGTATGTGAATTGCATTGAGGATGGTTGGGAGATGAATTCTACATCGGCTAAACGGCTAATTAAGGGGTTGATCATGAGTTTATAAGTAAGAAATACATCTTTATTCGTATGAGGCCTTTTGGGGAAACACAAAACAAAGCTATAAGAGCTTATGCTCAAAGTGGACAATATCATACCATTGTAGAGATTCGTGATTCCTAACCAGCTATTAGAGTCATGCTCTTAACTTAGCGATGTCAATAGAATCTTTCAATGTCGAACAAAGAAGTTGTGAGTCTCGAAGGTATAGTCAAAAGTGTCGAACAAAACGTGACTTAGTTCGAGGACTTCATAAGCCTTAAGAAAGGGCTCTATGTTGTACTTTGTTCGAGGGGAGGATTGTCGAGGAACCATGCTCAAAGTGGACAATATCATACCAATGTGGAGATTCGTGGTTCCTAACAAATGGTGTCTTGTTTGCCTACTGCAGGCTGGTGCAGATGATCTAATGCGGCAGGCTCAGACATTTTCATACGCAAATGGGAACGACCGTCCTCCAACCTCTATTAACTTCGAGAAATCGTTGTTGAGGGACTTGTTTTTCAATCAATGTCCTGCCAAGGTAATGGGGTTGAGAAACATTGAATATGCAAACTTTTTTCCAATAAGCTAAAAGGCACGTTTGGTAGTGATTTTGGTCGTGTTCAACATTAACTGTCGCTCGTGTTCAACATTAACCATTGCTCGTGTTCTTTTGCCTCTTTCGTTTCATACTAGCTCATGGCCGTTTGTATTCATGGTCCAGGATGTGGCTCTGGCGTCTGTATCAATGAGACCGATGCCATTTGCGCCTATTTTGGAGAAGCTCTGCCTTACAGACTTAAACTACGGATTGGTGAAACGGTTTTACATAGAAACACCAGAAGACAATGCCATTCCCATCACATTACAGGACAGCATGATAAACAAAAGCCCCCCACAACAGGTCTTTCGGCTAAAAGGTGCAGATCATTCCCCTTTCTTCTCAAAGCCTCAAGCTCTAAACAAGCTATTGGTAGAGATCTCAAAGATCAAAACACCATCATAGCATCATTCGACTCGGAAACGACTCAGAAATCTGTGAAAATCGTTGCCCGGATTGTAAGGTCAGAACATATGAATAATGTATAGGCTCCTTAAACATCAAGAACAGTAAAAGTTCTGGTTACTTGATTAAAAAAAATGAATCATGCTTCCTTTTACATTTGTATGCTCTTTCTTTCTGTTTCTGGGAGGATTTAGGGGATTTTTGTTTACTTTCCCCTTCGTCCCTAGGAATTTTTGCAGCAACAAATATATTGTTTTAAGGATAAGCAATTATAATACACATCCAGAAAGTGACTCATTTCATCCAAAGGTGACTAATATCAACTTAATAGCCATTTGAACTCATTTGATATCAACTAAATAGTCATGCCTACTCATGTTAAAAGGTGACTGATATCAACTTAGTAGTCACTTCTGATATCAACTTAATAGCCATTTGAATTCTTCTAATCCAACTATCGACACATGTTAAAGGTGATCGATATTAAATTAATAACCGTTTGAACTCATCTGATCTAATTGGATGCACATGCTAAAGGTGACTAATATCAACTTAATAGTCATTTTCAACTTAGAAGGGACGACTTGGTTCCATTTCTTGGATAAAATCAACTGATACCCATAAATTGTATGCGTTGTGTTCAATGTTCTTTCAAAAAAAAAAAAAAAAAAAAAAAAAAACCAAAATATCAAAATCCACTCCTATTAATTGAAAATTCAAAAATATAAAAAATAAAATTAAAAAAAGCGAGAGAGCATAATTTATTTATTAAATTGGTTCCACCGACAGATCCGGTGGCCTTGCATTTCCGACTAATTTCCGTTTTAATTATAATAATATAAGAACAATAATAATAAGATTTGAAAATTTGAAATTAATATTTAATAGCATCTCAGGTTCTCTGGTTGTGGCCTGTGTTGCAAAGGTGCTCTGCTGTCTTCCATCGTCTGCCTCCTTATCTCTTCCTTTTGATCCCATTTTCATTCACAGAACATTTTCGAGGTACCCACTTTAAATCTTTACCTTCTCGTTTCAGATCCACATTTCTTTAAGGTTTTGTTCGCCGATCTGATCATTTGTTGCTATTTTCCCGCACTTCATTTCCGTCTTTGTACGTACGCTCGTGATATACTTGATTCACTGTCTACATTGTTTTCATTTACCAATTTGATTTATGTTCTTTGATCTTTGATGAGGTTGAATTGAAATGTGATCCTTGTTTTGGTTTTGAATCGATTGAAATGTTGAAATGTTGAAATGTTTGTTGCTGGATGCTGTGTGCGCTCAAAATTATAGCACACTTGTTTGTAGTGGATCTGTAAGAAGAAGTCTGGGAATATTTGAAGCATGATATGAATCATGCATAGAAATGAAGAATTCATACCATGTGGTTCGTAGTTTGCCAAGTGTTATAGTAAATGATGTAGGTATTAGTTTATTGTCAGCTGATTAATAAAGTTCCCAATTCACCCACAAAGAGAACTGCAAAAAGTAAAAATATCCATATTGTTTCGTGAGTTGCAATATTATCATGGACCTTTCGTAAGCATTTCAAAACTACCGAATTTTTTTAAAATATTGGACGAAAATCGATGTAACAATGACTAACACGCTTGCCTAAATTAAGTCTACATTAAGAAACATTGACTTTTCCTCCAATATTCTAATAGTTTTTCTATTTCGGTAACATTGCAACTTTTGAAAGAATAGACATGTTTTAAACAAAAGGCGAAGTTAATAGTACTTTTTATAATTTAGCGCTCACGAAGATGTGCAATAGATTTTTTTCATCTAGTTTTGTTCATCAGTGGTTGTAGCTTTGTACCTTCTTTTCTTCATTGAAATACTATTAATAATGTAGAGCCGGCTTGGTAGACGTCAACAAGGGCCAAATGGTCATCGTAGCTCTTTACCCTGATATTTTATTAACTAAATTTCAGAATTGGGTTGATATTCTTCAACAAGAGCCTTTGGATCACGATTTTGTGCTTAAACAAGCATGCATTTTATATATAATGTTGCTGTATATGCCAAATGTATGATATTGGCAATTTATGCCTATAACTTTATTTCCCTCTGACTTCTCTGGATGTTATTTCCTTTATGGTATGCCCCCTTTTTCTCCTTATATAGTCTAATAGTTAAATGTGTTATCACTATAATTACATCTGGGTCTTATGTTGTTGTGTTAACAGGAGAAACAAAAGGCTTGAAAATGGGTCGTGGAGTTAGCAGCGGTGGTGGACAGAGTTCCTTGGGCTACCTGTTTGGAGGTGGAGAGCCGGCCAACAATGTGCAAGCTTCTAAGAAACCCAATGGATCTTCTCAGCCTACCTCTTCTACTTCACAACCTGCTGATAAACACATACCTGCTGGCATTCCGGGGAATCATACTAACAATTACCATAGAGCAGATGGACAGAACTGTGGCAACTTTATCACGGTAGGCTCTTTGTTTTCTTGTTGGATTGAAATGTTTTGTGCTGATAGTTATTCACCAACTATCCTGACCTTCCACTGTCATATTTATAAGACCGTAACTGTAATAGTCAAAGCCTACTGTCGGTAGATATTGTCCTCTTTGGACTTTTCCTTTCGGCCCCTCAAGGTTTTTAAAACACTTCCAAGAGGTTTCTACCCCTTATAAGGAATGATTTGTTCACCTCTTCGATGCTTGGACAAGTCTTTATCCCTTTGACCTTTACTAATTGGTTAACTGTGTTTAAAAAATGTTTAAGTTGGTACAATCTTTGATAATCATGGCGAGTGATGGGCCGAAAGTGAAGGCAGAGAGGAGATAGCTTAGGCCATTGTTCTAGAGAAAAAGGCTAATACAGTAGGCAGATAGGAAATTCCTGAAACATTAGGAAGATTGATGTCTCAATAAACCAAAGGGTGAAGAAAGCAATGTACCAGTTACATCTACAGGAGCTTCGCACCCACCATTTTCTTACAACTTCTTTCTTGGGGACATAACCAAAGAAAAGATTCTAGTAACAATAGATGTGCTCAAGATTTGTTAATTATTAACGTAACGCCCAAGCCCACCGCTAGCAGATATTGTCCTTTTTGGACTTTCCTTTTCGGACTTCCTCTCAAGATTTTAAAACCCGTTTGCTCATACCCTTATAAAGAATGTTTTGTTCTACTCGACAACCGACGAATTAAGTGAAGAATGCTTCGTCAAAGTGTTCTGAATCAGAATCAATGGTTGATTATGGCTTTATTTCAAATATGAATCCTCATTTATATATACAACCATTGGAATGTAAACGTTGGTGCATGTATTGACAGGATCGTCCATCGACCAAGGTTCACGCCGCACCTGGTGGCGGATCTTCTCTGGACTTCCTGTTCGGAAACGGCAAGAGCTAAGTTGGTTAAGAACCAAGAAAGACCCACGATTGGTGGCTATCATATGTAAACTACAACATTATATATTTCTACTTATGCACGAGGTTGTCTCCTCATGGTCAGAACTGTAGGCATGCGCTGGTGCTGATGGGCACTTTATGATGCTTTGTTTGAAACAAAAGTGATTATTGTATCTTGTTCTCCTCTGAATCTCTAGCATTCGCCTGTTTATGAACTCTTATGTTTGGCTTTCGCCATTAATTTGAATTCTGAATAACATCACACCATTCTCAAATTGAACATAAATTTAAAGAAAAATCATGTCTTAAACTTAGACTTAATCAACAAGATGATGATTGCACTTTTTTTTTTTTTTTTTTTTTGGGTTAAAATTTATTATTAAAAACTTGAAATTTAGTAAAACCGGAAGGTTGAAGATGGTTCGAGTGAGTTTATAAGAAATACATCTTCATTCATATGAAGAGGTCTTTTAGAGAAACTTAAGAGAAACTCAATAGAACTTAGACTTAAAGTGAATAATATTATCTCACTGTGGAGATCCGCTCCCTAACAAAAACTATTGAATCGGATCTTAGCCATCTGAAAAACTCTCATAATTATTTTAATTAATTAAAAAATTTTTACAATGTGATTTATTATATTTGAAAGACGATGAACTTGTTCAAATTAATTCACATATTTTTTATTTTATTTTATTTTATTTATTTATTATTATTATTTTTTATTTTTAAAGAGAGTGATTTTAGAAGTTAAAAGAAAATTATGGTAGTAGTAGATAATTATATTCGACACAAAGGTTATTATACAACGTTTTCCCCCTTTTATAAAAAATAAAAAATTATTATTATTATAAATGCTAAATATAAAAAAGAAAAATGGAATTTATAGGGAAAAAGGGCTCTCAATTCTACGTGAGAATCAGAAGCTTTAAGCAGCTAGGGTTTTCTGCAGCCTCCCTTGGCGCCTACTGCTGTAAGTGAAGGGAGGAGAAGATCGAACCTTGGATTTGTTTCACAGGTTCTACAATGGCGACTATCGTTCAAACATCTGAGGAAGATGCGGCGCTCACTGTCGTTCGATTTGCCTCTGAGCTCGCTTGGGCCGACGCCGGTTCTGAGGTTCCCAATTTTTATTCTTTTACTTTATCTTTCAATTCAATTTGGTGCGTTTGCGGCACCGTCCATGTCTTGAGTTTGTGGCTCGCACTAAGCTTACACCTTCATCGAGATTTGTTTCTCGCTGCTCCACCGTCTTTTTTAGGTTTTCTTTTTAATTTCATTGAGGAATATGGTTATTGATTTATTCTATCAGAACTTGAAAAATATGGTAAGCTGTTGCGATTTGGAGAGCCTGCATGATGCGTTCTTTCGTATGTGTAGTTCTGATAATTGACGAAGATTATGTATTATCACAGACGTCGGAAGATGTGAGAAAACGTTGGTTAATGCGCTCTGTGAGGATACTAGTTCCTTTGCGTAATTTGTATAATCTTTGCTATGTCAGGATGGCTTGCGATTAGATTCTAGGTGCCTTTTCATTTGTTCATAGTCGAACAGTCGAGTGAAATTCGTGTTGTTTATATACTAATCTTTTGTCTGCCCGATGATGGGCAAAACGAGGAATTTATTTTTCTCCTCTTTATTTCAAGCGCGATTATTTGAGTTTTTTTTTTTTTTTTTTTTT